TCTCTATCGCCAATTTTTAGATCGTCTTCTTTCATAATCTCAAGTTTGTTGTAATAATCCCCTGAAATAGGAACAATGCGCCCAAAATTAAGGAAAGAAGGACTATAACCTGTAACATCGTGCACGGAATTCCGAATAGCATGAGCCACCTTGAATATTTCTAAATCCCAATTACGATGGTTGTCCGTAACATATGATCTAATGGCGGTGCCAATAACCCGATTGACCCTCTCTACAAAATTTACTTGCGGATGGTAATTAGCATTATACCACACTTGAGGAATGTTATAATTTTTTATTAAATGTTTAAATTGTGAACTGATAAATTGTGGTCCATTATCTACCATGCATATTTGAGGTACTCCAAAAATTAGGAAAACATCATTTTCTAAAAAATCTACAACTGCTTTGGCATGCGCTTGTCGAACTGGTTTAAGTAATACAAATTTTGTAAACCAATCTGCTACCACAATGATACTCGTGTTCCCCTTTAATGAACGAGGTAATGGCCCTATGATATCAACTGATAGGCATTGAAATGGATAGCAAACTTTTTTTTCCTGTCCCATTAAACCCGGCCTACTGAGCTGAGAAGATTTATTCGCAGCACATATCTCACAACGCCTAACATACCGCGAAACGTCCGCCCTCATCTTAGGCCAATAATATTGTTCGGATAATTTTTGGTACGTTTTTAGAGCTCCTAAGTGCGAAGAGGTTGGATGGTCGTGCATTTTATTTAATAATTGGTTTCGTTTGGATTTGGGAACTAATTGTTTCCACTCAGTTAAATTTGAAACTACATTATGCTGATTTGGAACATATTTAAAGATCAGTTCATTTTCACACCGCCAATCTGGAAATTTTTCTGGGAATTTTTTAATTTCGTTTAACATCTTTTGGTAAAATCCATCAAAATCGTTAGGTGTAATTTTAAGTGCACAAACTTCTACCGGCGACCTAGATAGGGCATCTGGGACAATATTTATTTTTCCCTTGCGATGTATAACCGTAAAAGAATATTGGGAAAGTCTCATACTCCACCTAGCTAATCTACCTGAAGGATTGCGCATTTGCATTAGCCAAATAAGGGAGTAGTGATCGGTGATAACATGGAAATGGGTACCTTCTATGTATCCCCTGAACTTTTCGATACCAAACAAAACCGCTAAACACTCTCTTTCTGTTACCGAGTAATTACGTTCTGTATTTGTTAGCGTTCGCGAAGCATAAGCAATAACACGATCGTCATCTTGTGTCAACACACAACCCACACCATAACCAGAGGCATCACATTGCAGACTAAACATTTTATTAAAATCAGGACTAGCAAGTATCGGAGCTGAACATAAAATAGTTTTTAAAGAGTTAAATGATTTATCAGCTTCAGTGGTCCAATTAATCTTTTGCCCTTTGAATTTCCCTTTTATGAGATCGGAAATGGGTGCAGAAATGGTAGAAAAGTCTTTAACAAACCGCCGGTACCATCCCGCCATACCTAAGAATCTTTTAATTTCCTTGGTAGTTGTAGGTTTTGGGAATTCGCGAATTGCTTGAACCTTACTAGGGTCAGTATGTAAACCATTTTTATCTACCAAGTACCCTAAATAATTAAGACTCGACCTGCAGAACTGACATTTCTCGATATTAATAGTGAGGTTGGCTTCTTGCAGTTTAAGAAAAACTTCCTTTAATAGAGTAATGTGTTCCCCGAAAGTGGATGAAATGATAATAATGTCATCTAAATAACAAAAAATTTTCTCCCCCAATAGAGGCCCAAACAAAGTGTCCATAAGACGCTGCTGTGTAGCAGGCGCGTTAGCGATGCCGAAAGGTAGCACTGTGTATTCGTACAGCCCTCGACGAGGAACCACAAAAGCTGTTTTCTCACATGAATCTGGGTGTAACGGTATTTGGTAAAACGCTTGTTTTAAATCAATAGAGGTTAGATACCGCGCGTCTCGCAAACCGTCCAAAATACTGTTTAGATAGGGCAAAGGGTAAGCATCCCTTTTTGTAACGCTGTTCAATTTGCGACCGTCGAAACATAAACGATATTGTTCAGGATTACTGCCTTTCTTGCGAACAAGTACCATAGGCGAGCTCCAAGGTGATTTGGATGGTCTCACAATACCTTCTTTTAACATTCGATCTAATTCAGCATCGGCATGTTTTTGCATGGCTGGTGAAAGAGGATAAAACCGCTGTTTGATCGGTTGCGCATCACCTACATCAATAAAATGTGACACTAAATTTGTCCTACTTAAGCATGGTCCCGAAATATTTTTAAAATTATCGATGACTGTGTCTAATTCCAACTTTTGTTGTTCATCCAAATCATCGATTCCGTGAAGAGCACGCAATGCCGAAACGTTTGTTACTTTAAAGCTATCGGTACTAAAATCAGTTTTGAATCCAAAAGCATAGCACGCGTCCATCCCCAAAATTAGTGGATTTAAAATACTTGAACATGCTATAGCATTAATAGATTTACAAACGCCATCAATAATAATAGGAAGTTCAACAGTTCCCAAAACTTTTTGATCTTTACCGTCAGCTGTCGAAAGGTAATATTCATGACCATTACTTTTCAGAATAAGATTGAATTTTTTAATTAAATACAAACCATTACTTCCAAGAATAGTCTGGTTTGCACCCGAGTCGAACAGAGCACGAATTCGTTCGCCGCAAATAGAAAGTGATATGTAAGGACGGCTGTCATGTTTGTTATGTACAAAATTGGAACAAACTTTTGGAAATGGTTTGTAAAATGTATTGACAGTATGCAGCCAATTTTTCCACGATTTAGTTTCAGCCATAAGATCATTACATGACAAGGAGTGGCTGCTAATATCCTTGTCCGTAATTAGTTTTTTGGATTACAACGAGGACAGCTACTATAATAAACATTTTTATGACCGCAGACGTAACAAAAAACTTTTCGTTCTTCCAAGCAAGTGTGAAATGTATGCCCTTTATTCCCGCAATTGTAACAAGAAGTCGTAGGTTTGGCTGTATTAGGTTTAGAATTAATAGTAATTTGCTTTTTTGAACTTTGAGCACCGAGGGTATTGACTTGTGTTTTTTTCAATGCAGGCTTATACATTAAATCGGGTTCCAATTTAAATGACGGTCCCGCTGAAGGATTACGATACCGTGAATTTTGTAATCTAGTCTCTTCAAGACGTTTACAACACTTATGAAGTTGTTCTAAGGAATTTATGTCAACTAGACTAAGTTGAGTTGCATAGTAGGGTTGTAAATTTCGCAAAATGTATTTTAACTGACAATTTTCAGAAGGTCTTTCTACTAATCGGTCAAACATGTTTAGCATTGACGCTATGTAAATACTTGGTTTTTCATCCTGCCCCTGCTTACGGCGCTTTATTTCTTCCCATAACTCATCGTCGAAATTTGTTGGTAGGAAATCATATCTTAATTTATTTACTAATTCTTCCCAAGTGGACACTCGGGTTCTGATAGCACGAAACCAAACTAAACCATCCCCCTTGAAAAGATCAACAGCACTATCAAACAACTGTTCGGTAGAAATGTGCCGAGCAATTCTCAATTCATTTACACGTTGCAAAAATGAGTTTACACCTAATTCATTTACGTCCCCTGTGAATGCCAATCCCCATTTATACACTGGCACAGATTTTGACCCGGTTACATATGACGCATTAGCATAATTTCGGTTGGGAGGGAGCTCTGTAAATTGAAGACGATCTAGCTCTCGTCTTAAATGATCCAATCTTTGCGAGATATTAACGTCATTATTATTATTAGCTAGCGCACCAACCTGGGTTATTGGTTCAATTTCTTCATTAGGGCGTTCTGCGCTAAAAGATACCCGGGGAATGAATCGAGAAGAATGAGCAATAGGTTGATAATCGCGAGGCAAGCTATTTTGTTGTAATTCACCTTGATCGCTTTCATTATCAGCGTCCTGAATTTGAAGTGAATCATGTGCATTACCAATTCTATCAATACATTCCAGACAACGTGAAGTTATATTATCATACGCAACTTTAAGAGCTTCATCTGGTCTTAAACGATTAATTCTAGCAAGAATATGCGATAAACGTGTATGTATTCGAGTATAGAATTGTGGTGATGGGTTTGAAAGAAATTCTTGAACTAACATCTCTAACTCAGACACTTTCAATTCACAATCATTCAACTCAACACCCACATCATACTCAACAGGAGCATAAGAAATTAATACTGATGGATTTAAAGCTTCCATCGCTAACTTTGAACGTAACAGCTTCCGTTTTTGATCCACATTAAAATCAGTAGCATCAATATTTCTGAAGCGCAATTCTTCAGTCAATTCGTCAGATTTTAAAGCATTGACATTCATTGTAAAATTTGTTGATATGACAGGTAAATGTTGATATAAATTGACCTTAAGGTTAAAATGGCGAATGCGATTAGAAGTATGCAAACACAAGAGATAGCAACAATCACAGTTTCTATTATTTAACGTTGGGCGCCAAATTTTATCACGCCTAGCGCGATCAAAAAAAACAAAATGAATTTTTCTTTTTTTTGTTATTTAATACCAACCAAGTATCAAGTACCCTTTACAATTTATAGGTTTTTTTTTTTTTTTTATGAAAGGAACACAAGAATTATAAGATTAAACGGAAAAAAAATTAAATAAAGACGGGATAGCGCTATCGCAGAACAAAATATAAAATTAAAGTAATTTACATTGGATTATAAAAAAACAGGTAGGTACTTTTCAACTAAATTACGTATCATGTGTATCAATTTGGTATGGAAGATTTTAAATGAAATGAGTAAATGATGACCGAATGGTGAAATGTTAGCTAACCTTGCGTTTGATTTCTGTCTCTTGCCGTCGTCTGAAGATGCAATTAAATTTTTTGACCAGTAGATAGTGACTTAGTTATCGACGAACCCTCCTGAAGAAGTTGCTGAAGTTGGTAAGTTGTTTTTTTTTTATTTAGAGCAAACTACTACTGAATTTGTTTTTTTTGGTAATACGGAAGCTGCAGAAACTAATGCTCCTTCTTTCTGTTCCAGGGGCCCAAATCCGGTATGTACAAAAAACTAAAATGTGGTGAAATGTTACAAATTTGAAATAATAAAATTAAAACTTACGGTTCTATGACCTTTTCTTTTTAAAATTTATCCTCAATAGGAATATTCAATGCAAATTGATTGGAATGAAATTTTCTTAAACGCAACTAAATAAATTGCAAATTTTTATCCGCACCAAACGTAGGTACGAAGACAAGTGCGTTTTCCGAATTCCTGATAGCAAGACCAATATTTCAAGTATAGTTTAAACGCCAACGACATCTTACGACACGTCATAACGTTACAGATGGAACAGCATATCGGTCAGCGGTCGGCTCCTTAATGCACTTGATGACGGCAACGAGGCCTGACATTGCCTATGCGGTTTCATTTGCGGCTCGAAAAATGCAAGAACCTACTCAAGAAGATTGGAACCGTGTGAAGCGCATATTTCGTTATTTGCGTGGAACCAGTAGTTATGGACTGCACTACTCAAAGGGTGGATCTGATGAGTTGGTGACATTCACGGATGCGGATTATGGAGGATGCAGCGAAACAGGTCGGTCAACGACAGGTGTTGTAGCTGTTTATGGTGGCGCCTCAGTGGCATGGACGAGTCAGCGTCAACACTCGGTCGTAACTTCAACTACAGAAGCTGAATTGTGGCAGCAAGTGAGGGTTCAAAAGAACTAATGTGGCTGAAACGATTAGTTTCTAAAATTAGTGGAAAAACGATTGTGAAACCAATACTTTATTGTGATAGTGCAAGCGCAGTAAAGTCAAGTAAAAATCCAGAGTTTCACAAACGCACCAAACATGTAAAGCTTCGCTTCTTTTATGTTCGCGAGTGTGTGCAAGATAACGAAATTGAAGTGCAACATATTGATGGACAACATCAATTAGCGGACTTATTTACGAAACCGCTTGACCGAGTTAGATTTAAAACGTTGCGTGATGGTTTAGGTTTAAAAATGTTTTAAATCAGATTAGTTCTTTGTTTTTTTTGGCGTGTCCAGTTTTGGAGGAAGTGTTAGAGAAAAACTGTGACACACCGTGTATATACATTTTTCTTTAAGTGTCAAAATATATATGACGCGTACGTGTAGACGTAGTAACATGTATTTTTCATATAAGTAGTTTTTCCTTGTTTTACTTTAGTCTGGTGTTTGTTTCTATTAAAGCAGTGGTTTACAGTTCGTTATTTGCTTATTTTGAACTATAATCTCATCAAATCTAAGCTAGGAAGGTATGATGATGTTCTCCATTGCACCGGAACGTGTAATAATGCCTTTCACATTGGAAGCATTAATATTACGGTAGAAGCGCTACAAATCATGAAAACTGATAAGAGTGTTACTACTTGGTTATGTGATAGCTGCAACGACGTCGTCCAAAAGCTCAACACTAGCACTGAGAATATAGTAAACGTTGAACTAGGCCGTATGACTGTCGACCAAAAACTGGATTTCTTGATCGGCATGCATATCGAAATGAAAAGCTCTATAGCTAGTTATAGTAATCGCTGAAAACGCTGAACATAGAAATCGAATAATACATCTTGAGAAGGAGGTCGAAAATTTAAAAAACGAACTAAAACCTGAAGAGATAATTAACGAAAGCAATGAACGATCTATTCGCCAAAGAAATGTCATCATATTTGGACTGACCGAAAGCACGGAAGAGAACATAGAGGTCCGTAAGGATGAAGATCGTAATCGAGTACATGAAATCCTTCAGTTAATATCCACAGATTGCGACACCCAAGACGTTATAGTTATATTAAAGACCACTGAAGAATCGAGGATTGTCCTAAGAAATAAAACCAAACTCAAAATGGTTCCAAAGTTCGCCTCAATCACAATTAGCAGTGACCAAACACCAAAAGAGCGAGATGATTTAAAAGGAGTACGTGAGGAATTGGAGTTGCGCAAAAGCCAGGGGCAAATGAATCTTACTATTCGTTATGTGCGTGGTCAACCCAAAATTGTAGTCAATCAAAAAAACTAATTCACTCCCCCTCCTCAAGCTATACCAAACTAAAGCTGTGCTTTACAAATATTCGTTCCTTGTGTAAAAATGTTGACCACCTAAACGTAATTTGTGTTGGAGATTTTAACATTAATATGCTCGAGTCCTATATACCATCACCTTTCATCGACACCTTCAACGAGCTGGGTTTCGTACAAATGATTAAGGATTTGTTATTTACATTGCAACCTGATCGAATCGATACATTTGAGCAAACATGTCCAATTGGCACAGCTGACCACAACCTAATTGCTTTCCAATATTTAACAAATCGTACTCATCAAACAAAAACCATTACTCGGCAGGGCGCATTAATCTCTGATCCATTAAACATGGACTGCGGTGTTCCTCAAGGAAGCATCCTTGGCCCGTTATTATTTAATGTATATGTTGGTGACTTACATTATTTTCTCAATCATGTAGATATGCATCAGTATGCTGATGATATCCAACTAGTGATAAACACTTCAATTACACATGCAACTCATGAGGTAATTAAATTAAATAAAGACTTAGACGTTATCACAAAGTGGGCAAATGCAAATAATCTGAAGCTTAATCCTAGTAAGACTGTTGTTATGCCGATTGGTACTGCGGCACAAGTTCAAAAATTTCTAATTGAGCCTAAAGAAGCGATAGTTGTAGCTGGAAGTAATGTTGACTATGCAACATCAATGAAGGTCAATGAAGGGACACTCATGTCAAGTCCGTATGTACCAAATCGTACTACAAATTAAAGAACTTATACAGATCAAAAGATGCACTGACGCAAGAAATTAAATTAAAACTCGTAAAACAACTAATCTTACCCTTGCTTACATATGGAGATGTACGTTATCATGGTTTAAACAAGCAGCTCTCTAACAAGATACAAAGGGTGCAAACTTGCTGCGTACGGTATGTTTGTAACATAAGAAAATATGATCACATTCAACCAACTTTGAGAGGTCTCAACATGTTAAATATGGAAAAGACTCGTTTACTTAACATTCTTTGTGTGTTACATAAAATAATCGTATTGAACAAAAGACCATGTTACTTATTTAACCAATTCCGAACCTTACACAGTTTTCATAGCTACGGCACGCGAACTACGGACTTCATCATACCAAAAGTCAACACAAAAGCAGGTTACACGTCCTTTTATGTCCAAGCCGTGAAACTATGGAACTCAAGTGTTCGGTCGACACGTGATGGCAGTGCCAGTGCTTTAGTTTAATACAGTCAGATTACATTGTTGCATCTTAGACCTAAGTATCTTTTTAGCGCATTTCCACAAAAAAAAAATGCGCTATTGTGGCCACTTTGTCCGTCCGTCCGTCCGCTAACTTTGCGACGCTACTAGTTTTTTATCTTAAGAGCTATTGTTCTACTTTTTTCGCTATTTGGTTCGTTATGGTGTCGAGTCTTGTACCAAGGAAGGAATTTTTTCTGTACCGCTTACAAAAATAGTATATTGAAAGACAAGTGTTACAATGCGACCTATTGTAATACGACTATCTTGTGGCACGAGTGGCGACGCGAAGCGTAGGCACGAGTGTCCGCAAGATAGAAGTATTACAATAAAGCATTGTAACACGCGTTTTTCATACTATTTTTTCTATTTCGGTGCTTTAATTTAATTAAAAAAATAATTATCAGAAACTATAGGGAACATTAGAACTAACATGTTTTATGTTGGGAACACTTTTTATGCCGTTAAGTTTTAGGTTGGCAGCGTAGTAAGACTGGCATTTTGAAGTTCAAACATGGAAGTACCCAACGAAATACCTCCTTGTACTAACTAGTAACTGCCAACTTAAGAGATGAGTTACCAAAAAAAAACGACTATAATCACTGTCTTTGTACAACTGTTTTCGGCCGAAAACAGTTGTACAAAATCATCATTGTGACACCGAAATAGAAAAAAGTTATTGTAAAAAAAACAAAAAACCGTTTTTTACATGTTCCATAATTTTACACTTTTGCCGTTTATTAACGATCCTAGAGATCGTTTATCGTCGCCTGCCGGTTGGTCTCTCCGTCTGTTCCTTTGTCTGTCTGTCCATCTATCTGTCCGTGTGAACGATAACTTTGTTTAGAAATGTTCGATCGCTTTTACATCTCCGTTAGTTATGAACTGAAATGCATGAAATTCAATATGGGCATAGATTTAGCCATATAATACGCAATGCCAAAAGTTGAATCGAATCGATTCAAAATTCACAGTGCCCTTTTCGCATCTCGACCATTTATAAACCGAATTGCAAACTTTTTTTACTTATAAAAGTATTTGAATGAAATTTGATACATAGGCACTTGGAATAAAGGAAAATCAAACGCCAATTTCAAAATTGGGTTTTGCGCATGCGCAGTGCCAACTTTTTTATTTATGGAAGAATTTAAACGAAATTTGATACATAGGCACTTGGGATAAAAGAAAATCAAACGCCAATTTCAAAATTTGGTTTTACGCATGCGCAGTGCCAAGTTTTTTATTTATGGAAGAATTTAAACGAAATTTGATACAGAAGCACTTCGAATAAAGGAAAATCAAACGCCAATTTCAAAATTTGGTTTTGCGCATGCGCAGTGGCAACTTTTTTATTTATGGAAGAATTTAAACGAAATTTGATACATAGGCACTTGGGATAAAGGAAAATCAAACGCCAATTTCAAAATTTGGTTTTGCGCATGCGCAGTGCCAAATTTTTTATTTATGGAAGAATTTAAACGAAATTTGATACATAGGCACTTGGGATAAAGGAAAATCAAACGCCAGTTTCAAAATTTGGTTTTGCGCATGCGCAGTGCCAACTTTTTATTTATGGAAGAATTTAAACGAAATTTGATACATAGGCACTTCGAATAAAGGAAAATCAAACGCCAATTTCAAAATTTTATTTTGCGCATGCGCCGTGCCAACTTTTTTATCTATGGAACTATTTAAGTGAAATTTGATACTTAGGCGCTTGGAACAAAGGAAAATCTAACATTAGTTTTAAAATTTAGGTATGCGCATGTGCAGTTCCAACTTTCTTATTTAGAAAAGCATTGAAATGAAATTCTTCGCATAAACTGAAATTGAAGTAGCACGTCAACAATGGATTGCCCATGTGCAACGCTATCTTTCATATTTGTGGGCGGATTTTTACATTTTAACAGAAGTTGCATCTTACAAATGGGAAATGAATGCAAGTGGAAATGCGCTTTAT